ATAGCTGGAATAAGGTACAACCTTTGTATGTAATAGTATGTCCTAAACCCCAATGTGCTTGAAAAAAATGATAACCATTGCTGGATTACTTCCAGTGAGCAGTTTTGATGCTGTTAAAAGCATATTCCCCCAAGACATAAGGCCATGGCATGGTTAGTATTCCAAATTATGTGATGTCCATTGATACATACAGTCATATGACCTCCAATGTGATCATAGTACCACTCTCCTTTCAGTGATAGATGGCTAAGCTTCTTTCTGGCATACATGGCAACTTTTGAAAATTTCTAATAAGCAGCTCTGGAATACAATAAACTTTTCTCCGAATAGACATGATTCAGTGTTTCCATGTGAGGTCTTATCCTTTTTTAGCAATTCTTCTTCATCTAAACCATAGTTAGACCTAAGGATATAAATATTGTCCATTGTTTTTGTTTGTAATAGACTAAACACTTAACGTGGTTCTTATATAATATAGCACTACTATAACCAGTCTTTGTCGTCATAATTGTCATAATCTCGACGTCGTCATATATTTTTGAATGTCGATGTGGCCTTTCATTGTCAGTTTCAATATTGTCATTTTCAATATTACAAGCCACGGCTCTTAGGTGTTCAACTATGCTTTGCTTTATGGATTTCAAGATTCTAGTTACAAGAGAAAAAGGAAATACTATCTTTGAGTAAATTCTTACGTGTATTTCGAATTGTTTTCGAAATTGTTTTCAAAGGTTTCTCTACAAAGCCGGCGGTATTAACTTATCTTCAGTGTTGATCACTCAAACAAAATTGGCTATCAAAATCTACAATCTTACCATTTTTGTTAGTTGTTTTTTCGACAGTAGATGATTCGACAGTTGAAGTATGGGCATCTGCTTTCCCCACAATAAGAATGTCGAGTTTTTCTTCGTTTTATAGCATTAAAATTCTTGTCGAACACGGCCTGTGTTCTGGTGGCGGGAAGTGTACCGTCGAAAAACCGGCACCATCTGTGACGTCATTGGAGGCGTCTCCGACTAACTACCGATTAATTACCGAAAATGAACGACCGGTCAACGGAAATACAACACTTTTCAATCCCTGATATCTCGAAAAATAAAATTCTTCCAGTTTTCTCGCTTCGCGTATGCATTGAACATAGCAAGAACGTCTTTTTCCAAGTGTTAAAAAATCATCGAATTTTCCGTTGCATTTGACCTTTAACTTTCAAATTATCATTTTCAAGGACCTACAGCAGCTCTAACATCAAGAAACTTGGATATATGGAACTCGAGCGAGTTCAACTGGCAAGATATACCATTTGATGTTGTGAGAAAAAAAAAACAAAACCATCTTTCACCTTCTACGTAAACGTAACCTCGCGTACGTAATCCGCCATTTTGTATCACATTCATTACCAGACTTCTGTATTCTGAACGGTGAGCTAGTGCCAGGCTTCCAAAATCGATGTTTTTGCCGACCGACGACGAGTTTGCCCATCGATGTTTTTGCCGACCAACGACGAGTTTGCCGATCGATGTTTTTGCCGACCGACAACGGGTTTGGGTGTTTGAACCGAAGAGTTGAATGTTTGAACCGAAGAGTTGAATGTTTGAACCGAGGAAACGAGTGTTTGAACCGAGGAGTTGAATGTTTGAACCGAAGAAACGAGTGTTTGAACCGAAGAAACGAGTGTTTGAACCGAAGAGACGAGTGTTTGAACCGAAGGAAGGAGTGTTTGGAATTTTGGCGGGGATAGATACCCATAGTCTAGTGCCCTGTGGAACACCAGCTGGGATGTCGCCCCATTCAGATAGACAGTCCGGCCCCAGTTTCTCTGTTTCCGTTCTCTAAGGAAATCAATAGTCCAGCATAGAACAGCATAAGGGATGTCTAGACTGATCAACTTGTGGGCAAGGATCTGATCTGATGATGAGATCAAAGGCTTTTCTGTAGTCGAAAAGAACGATTCTAACTGTAAATCCCGACCCATCAGTATGCTTAGACCATGAGCGAACCATGCTGAGTAGTGCATGTGTGGTGGAAGATTTGGGAAGGCATCCGAAATCGTTCTCTCCAATCTTCTGCAGCATAACTGGTCGTACAAAATCTTCAACTAAACCTTTCCGATTTAGCGGAAAATCGGTAGCATTTTCCGGAGTATAAGACTTGACACCTTGGATTAATAACAACAGTTCCTCTTTTGCATGATTTTTTTAAAATTATGCCCACTTGAAATTCGTTTACAAAAGTCAGTTATTTAGCTTAGACTTAATTCTTGTAGACTACAATTTGTAAATTTTTGAAATTATTAAACTTTTATTATTTGAATCAAATGAAAGTTACAAAATGCACAAAAAAAACAGCTAATTATAATTTTGCGATTTGACTAATGGCAATTATTATAATAAATAAAACGATACCAATAATATATAAATGGACACAACTTCATTTTATGTTTTTTCATTATTTCTCTATTAGATATTTATTATCTGCAGTTTGGATAACCTTAGTCTCCTTCGCAGCCTACCCTTTTGTCGGGCTTCCTGTCCCTCCCAAAAGAATAGGCTGCTTACCCGGGCCCAACATTCCTTTCCCATTGTCTGACCGCAGCCAATCAAATAACCGCTATTGTTTCTCAAAAACCAATCAGCGATTAGAATGACGTAGGGTTCCCGCGAAAATGTAAAGGGAGCTCCCGTTGCGGCGAAAAGTAAGTAAGGCTTTTGTTTTGATGGAGGACACGCCGAAAAAAATTACAGAAAGCGAGAGTAAATGTTTCCTTTGTTCACTCGATTGTCCAAAAAATAACAGAGTACTAGTTTTTGGGAAAATCCTTGGATATTCCCAAACTTCTGAGCGTTGCGATCGACATTGATCTGAAAACTTACTCTCAAAGTCAGGAACTTTTCATCTGTAAATCCCGTTGCTACAAAACTCTTCAACAGTTTTCAAACTGTCTTCAAAAGTTCCAGAGAATTAAGGACGAGATAAAGAATCAGTTCAACGCCCAACAGATCCGAACAAAAAGGCTGTTAAGAGAAGATGACTTAGGACAATCATCGAAGCAACGCAACAGTAGTGCGGCGAAATCACTCGACTTCAGTACTACCACTTCTACTTCTTCGGTAAACATAAACACTAACCAGAATAGAGAATTTGTCCCGCTGATCGATCCAAGCAGTAGTAATTATGCAGCATTTGAGCAGTCACTCCAACATTTTCCCGCTACCGATTCCTCATCATTTTCCAAGCGTTCCAACGCCATCTGATCACTTCGTTGGTGGCATAACATCTACTCCTCGCTCGACATCAACACAGTCAACGAGTACTGTGAGAATCTCAATTAAATAYTCAAGTAAGACTGTAAATAAGTATCTGGATCCTAAGTATGAATCGGTAGGAAAATCTCTATATTATGGTATTCCTTCAGCTATAGCTACAGCTGTTATGAAGTGTGAAGTTCTTCGTAAAGAAGTAGTAAAGAAAGTACTGACCACTGTAACACAAGAAGTCAATGGTCTGTGTGGGAGACGTGAACCATCTCTTTTAAGAAAATGTTCCAGAGATGATYTGATGAAATTCGACTTTAAATCCCTTTGTGAAGAGTRGCAGCAAAGAGYGCCCTTATTCTACTCCTTTCTCTTATGCTGTTCGTCCAAGAAATCGTCAAGCTCTACATGGTTTCCCAGTGTTGCAGTTGCTGGGTCTGTGCTCTTGAAGCAAAGAAATCCACAGATGAATGCCACTGCAACCGTTCTTGGAATTCTCCTCAAAAGCAGATCCATTGGAGATATCATTATTGATTTATACAATTAAAAATATTATTATAAATTCAAGTAAATATGCACAATTTAAGTTAATGAAAAGCATCCACAGAAAGTAGTGGTGTTTGCACTCTCTAAGCTTTTTATATAAGCTTAAGTCAATGTTTGACTATCATAGTCTATGTTAGTCATCAGCCACATATTGTCAATATGTGATATTAATATAATTGTAATTGATAATTTGTAGATGTGACCATAAACTGTTTTATCAGCTCAACAATTCTGTATTTGTAAGCCATTGTTAGGGCCTGATTATAATCATGTGGGTACTGGCCTGATTCTTGTTTTCATACCCAGTCAATTCAAATGGTTCAATTATTCAGGAACCTACTATAATCAATTCTGGTATTCTTATATATCAAATTATGATGCTGATTATTTTATGTTTACATGAAGTCTACCTGAATTAACTTTACTATTTTGGCTAAAGACTTTAAGACTTCAGTTGTTAGCATTTTGTAA